TTTTGAGACATGGTCTTGCTCTGTCACCCAGGCTGAAGTGCAGTGACACAATTTTGGCTCACTTCAAACTCGGTCTCCCAGGCTCAAGCAATCTTCCCACCTCAGCCTCCCAAGTAGCAGGTGCATACCACCACACCTGGCTAGTTTTTGTATTTTGTGTGTGTGTAGAGACAAGGTTTTTCAATGTTTTCCAGGCTTGTCACACACTCCTTAAGTGAGCCACCCACATTGGCCTTCCAAAGTGCTGGGTTTACAGGTGTGAGCCACCTCACCAGGCCAAGTCACACATGTTCTTAAGGACATCTAGAATAGAAGGTTTTCAATTTACTTTGCACAGATCCATCAGAGAAATCACTATCTCTGGCAGCTATAGCCTTATGAAATATATTTCTTTTTGTGTGTGTGAGAGAGATGGAGTTTCACTCTTGTTACCCAGGCTGGAGTGCAATGGCGTGATCTCGGCTCACCACAACCTCTTCCTCCCCGGTTCAAGCAATTCTCCTGCCTCAGCCTCCCGAGTAGCTGGGATTACAGGCATGCGACACCACACCTGGCTAATTTTGTATTTTTAGTAGAGAGGGGGTTTCTCCATGTTGGTCAGGCTGGTCTCAAACTCCGGATCTCAGGTGATCTGCCTGCCTCAGCCTCTCAAGGTGCTGGGATTATAGGCATGAGCCACCGCGCCTGGCTATCTAGCGTAATTGTTAAGGGCTCTAGGGTTTTAGGGAGGTAAATGAACACTGGCTTCAACTTAGAGTCACCAGCTGCATTAGCCCCTAACATGAGAGTCAGTTTGTTCTTAGAAGCTGCGAAGCCAGGCATTGACTTCTCTCTAGCTATGAAAGTACTAGCATCTTCTTCCAATGAAAGGCTGTTTCATATACATTGAAAGTCTGTTGTTTAGTGTAGCAACCTTAATCAATTACCTTAGTTAGGTCTTCCGAATAACTTGCTGCAGCATCTACAACAGCACTTGCTGCTTCAGCTTGCACTTTTAAGTTATGGAAATAGCTCCTTCCCTTAAACCTCACTAGCTTCCACCTTTTTTTCTGCAGCTGCCTCACCTGTCTCAACCTTCTCCTTATTGAAGAGTTAGGGCTCCACATTAGGTTTTGACTTGAGGGAATGTTGTGGCTGGTTTGATCTTCTATCCAGATCACTCAAACTTTCTCTATATCAACAATATCTGTTTCACTTTCTTATCATTTGCATGTATAGTGGAGTAGCACTTTTAATTTCTTTCAAAAACTTTTCCTTTGCATTCACAACTTAACTGTTTGGTGCAAGAAGACTGGCTTTCATGCTGTCTCGGCTTTCAACATGCCTTCTTCACTGAGCTTAATCATTTTCAGCTTTTTATTTAAAGTGAGAGATGTGTGACTCTTCCTTCCACTTGAACCCCACTGTAGGGTTGCTAATGGTCTAATTTAAATATTGTTGTATCACAGGAATAAGGAGGCAGGAAGAGAAGGAGAAAAGAAGGGAGACTGCCGGTCTGTGGAGCAGTCAAAACATCCATAACATTTATGAATTAAGTTTGCCATCTTATATGGGCATGGTTCATGGTGCTCCTAAACAATTGCAATAGTAATAAAAAGATAACAGATCAGCATAACATATACGATAATTATGAAAAAGTTTGAAATAGTGTGAAAATTACCCAAATGTGGCACAGAGACACATAGTAAGCATGTGCTGTAGGAAAAATGGCGCAGACAGATTTGGTTCTATGCAGTGGCCACAAACCTTCCATTTGTAAAAACAGTTATCTGTGAAACGCAATAAAGGAAAGCGAGCCTGTAGCAGATGCACGTTTCATTTAGACATCCTTAGGACTCATCATACTAGTGAAGGGCCCCAGCTTTTCCATACCAGTAGCTGCAATTCTGAGACGAAAGTGCCTCTTCCCTTTACACCTTCCTTTCCGGAAAGATGAGACCATAAGGGATTTTGAACTTACTTTGATGATTAAAGCCCATTGTTTTACATGTCTCCGGAAAAGGAAGCAGTGTCTGCTATGGAACAAACAGTAGAATTTGAATACATAATCCCCTGACCGTCGAAACTGAACCTCAGGTCCTATCCTGGCTCTAGACCACCAGGTCACGGAAGAAGACATTTTTCTTAGAATCTTTATCTACTTGACAAGCTTGGAAATTACAACCTATATGCACTATGAACACGGAAGTACCTGAGCTCAAAGCAGTTGAGCAATCCTAAGTGGGGGTGACCAGAAGAGGTGCCTTCTGACCCCAAACATCACACTACCCGTACCTGGAGGAGCGGGTTGCAGCCCAGCTACATCGCCCCCCGGCGGAGCAGCAAGCAGAAGAAAAACTACATTTCCCAGCGACCACTGCGCGGCTAGGAACACCGCGAGGAGGGGCGAGATGGGGTTAGCCTCTGTGTGAAGGCCCTTCCCATTGGTGCGTGTTCTAAAGGGCCGTGTAAGCTGCTGCGCGATTGGACAGATTCAGGGACGTTCAGTGGCGCCGCGACGCTCCTTGGTTTGACTTTTATTTTTCAGTTGAGTTCCCCGACTCGGAGACTTAAGCGTGTCGTGAGTATAGAGTTTCGAGTTTGGGGTGAAGGGATTAGGGAAGAGGTCTTGGGAAGAAAATCTGATGAGGGAGAAATAACTGCGGAAGCAGTGCGGAGGAGAGGGACGTGGGCCTGGAATTTGGGGTCTGTGGAGGTGCTGGGGACAGGGAGAGGAAAGTTCGAATCTGCAAAGGGAGAGACCTCGCGAGTGCTGGAGGGTTGGGACCTGGAGCAGTGAGGGAGTCGAGAATGGGATGAATTGGAAAAAGGAGTACAAGATTCGGACGTCCTGGAGGTGGGTTCCTGTATACGTTCACCCCACGCTGGTCTAAGCTTCAATTATCCTCATTTGTAAAATAAGGGATAATAAAAATACTTAACAGTTGTGGGAATAAATCAAATAAATTCCACAGGTTGTTACATGGCTAAAAGAAAAAAATTCAAAGTGCTACACAAATGTTAATTGTTAATAGACAAGCTATAAGAGTGTACCTAAGCAAGGATATCAGAGATAGGTGCATAGAAGCTAGCTGAAACCCGTTAATTTACCTATAAACAAGGGCATTGTTTTGGGAGAGGCAATGAAGAGTAACACGGTTTCTATCTGCAGGGAATGTATGCCATCCTGGGAGAAAAGATAGCAATAAAGAACTCTAATATGTTTAATTGTAGAGAATTTCAAAGGCAGTTCTTTTGCAGGTAGATCATTTTTGCTAAATCATTTTGAATGGAGAGACTCAGGAAAGAGATGAAAGAGGTGGTATTTAAGATGAGTTTTCATGTACAGACTAGATTTTGTTAACTGAAATTATGAGGGTTGTTGAGAGAGCTGTGTTCCAGCTAGAGGGAAGCTCATAAACAAAGGTATAGAGGCGGTGACGTTATCTGGAAACGGTACATTTAGGGGAGTAGAGGGAAATAAGGGGGGAAAGATAGGTTTGACCCTTATTCAGAAAGCCATGAATTTTAGGCTAACAAGTTTGATTTAATGCTTTAGGCTATGAGGTGTTACTGATGAATTTTATTAAAGAAAATGGTCCAGGAGAGGAAAGGAGTAGGTTGAACCATAAGCTGTTGTAGTGATGTGGGTAGGAAGTATTGAGATTCTGAATTAACATGGTCATTTTGCAGATAAAATATATAAGATATTCATATGGTCAGGAGGTTCAGGAGAATGAGTAATCAAATGACGAATTTAAGTTGCCAACTCCAGGTTGCTTGGAAATGCTGAATTAGTAACTAAAATAGGAACGTAGAAGGGGCACATTTGGATGAAAAAGATGATGTGTTAGCTTTGAGGTGCTAAAAAGAAAACTGAGTGATTTCTTTTTTAAGTTAAACATTTCATGCACTAGTGAGACTATAGGTGAAAATATCCAGTATGTTTTTGTTAATTCAAATTAAGAGCTTGAAAAAGATGGCATTTATTTATTCAACATGTAATTGTTGCTTACTCTAGTGTTTTAGATGATAGAATTAATAGGCCAGCAAGGTGGCTCATGCCTGTAAGTAATCCCAGCACTTTGGGAGGCTGAGGCGGGCAGATTATGAGGTCAGGTTAGAGATCAGTTTGGCCAACATGGTGAAACCCTGTCT